ATATGGACACGTTACACAGAGCGAAGCAGTCCATACCCTTGACGCCACTACCCTAAAAAAATATCCTAGTTTCGCGTAGCAAAAATCAAACCAGACAGCCAGTGTTCCCATGGACAAAATAATACAGCGAAATCTTGGACGAAATATCAGATTTCATACGAAATTCTAGAAAAAAAATCCATCTTCAACCACTGAAAATTTCAGAGCATTCGGTCCAGTAATTGAAGAGAAAAGCGACTTTTCAATAACTAAGTCAAAATACAAGAACAACAACACAACATACCAAAAGTTTTGGTCAAAACGATCATTGTGTCCCCTAACTAACCTGTCCAATAACATTTTGGTTCGTATTTACAGTTTCACTTGCTCAAAAACTGTTGGATTGCACTTGATGAGAATTAGGCTGCGAAAAGTTTCTGACCCCAATAAATTTCTTCTTGCCCTATAAAAGTTACCCGCAATTGAAAAAACTCTTTCCTGACGGAGCTGATGTTGCTGTAATTAGGGTTACCATATTTTTTTGACTTCAAAGCGGGACGCCTCCAAAGACACGACCCCTTAGCTGTGATCCTGTTACTCTACAGTTTCCGATTTTACTATACTGTATAGGTCTACATTTAAAGTCATCCCGGCTGTCTTCATTGACTATATTGTCATCGAGAGTTCATGCTCTCTGTCTAGATATCGAGTTCAGTTCGAAAAATAGAAAGGAATAGACGCTAACGACACAAACGATCGGAACTCAGATTTTTTTTATGTACAGCAAAAGGAATAAAGAAAAATGAAATAGTCTGCCGTTTTCAAGCATTGAGAATTTCCTTATTTGCCCAAGCATGCTTTCCTGTGGATAACACCTTTAAAAAGACATCGCTCAATGTTACATTCACGTGAACGTCCAAACAGGACCAATTAGAATTGATTTTACATGTGATACGTTTGCTAGCAATGTTAGCGGAAAACAACGAAACAAACAAAATAACGCATATACTTTGTTTTTTACTTCACGGATCAGGACGACATGTCCAAAACCCAGCCCAACTGCCTTCATGCGCAGACAATGCTTACGGAAGTTCTATAGCTCATTTTTCTTTTCGAAAATCTAACGCATTCACCCTCAGTATGTAAGCTAGCGTTGCGCTACGCAGCAACAACAGTAACGAGAACATGTTCTTGTATTGTGCTGGATGGCTGAACGCAAAAGCGGGACTTTTGGCTGACTTGTCGGGACGGCGGGACAAGACGCTAAAAAGCGGGACTGTCCCGCCTAAAGCGGTACGTATGGTAAGCCTACTGTTAGTCCTAAATATTCCTTGGCTACAGAAGCAAGCCTGGGAAATTCTTCTGATTTCTTCTTCCAATACATTAATGGGTTTTTGTCAAAATGCAAACTAACGAATAGCATTCGAAATTGCAAAATGAGGTATTGTTAACAACCACGACTGAAAATCTGTCTACGATATAAAAAAGGAAGGCGATTCTCGCAATACGCCCATTGGAAAAATATTTCGCCCTTTTTCGTGTTATTGCGGGCCAGATGAAAGGACGCCGTAGTTTGGTGATCCCTGGTCTAATTGAAAGTGTAAATGACCCAAAATTTAAGCAAAATACAATTACATTTACAATTACACAGAATGAAAATGGCGGCTCAATTACATTACAATTACATGAAAAACTGTAATTAATTACATCAATTACAACAAGAGAGCTATGCTCAAATATATGGACATATATATATATAGACGCCACCTAACGGGCAATAATTTTGAAGACGTCATCAAAAGCAATGGGGCAAAAAAAAAGCATTCGGTAGAAATTTTTATCTTTAACCACTGAAAATTTCAAAGCAGTTGGTCCAGTAATCAAAGAGAAAAGCGATTTCTTCAAACCGTGTCAAAGGACAACAAGAACAACATAACAACGAAACGATGGCTATGTCCTCTACGTGTCCAATTACAAATTACAATTGATCCAACTCTGATATATATATATATATATAATATACGACATATCAATGACCCACCAACAGAAACTAGCTTAGACTAGACTCTTTTCGCATATAATGCCGCGCTGGTTGATTGTGCTACACGCAGTGAAAAACTACAGCTTTCGATCAATAAAAAAATCGAGATGGTCAACCTCTGGCTAAAAAGTAATAAATTATGTTTAGGCCATTCAAAAACTAAATTCCTGGTCTTTGGTTCCGGCCAAATTTTTGGCAGTTCCATCTCCAAATTGACAGTCAAAAAATAGGAAGATCAAAATGTATTAACCCTTTCCGTGCGGTGGGCACGTATACGTACCCACGATAAAACTCGCTAGATTGCGGCGGGTACGTTGATGTACTCCACTGTTTTATTTAGCAATGGGTCGCAAACTGTTGTTCTAGTTTTTCCGGGTTTTAGTTTATTGATAAGAAGTCTTCTTCGAGATTAACATAAGCGACGGTAAATCTCGCTTTCGTTTACCATGGGAATTTTATTTGCGGCGGAACGAGGGAGTGTTTTTGAAATTTATGCAAATTTTGGTGTTTTTTGGGTGGTAATAGAAGACATATTACCCCTTCCATCTACCAAAATATTTTGAGTAAGATAACGAAATTGCTACAGCAATATTATGCTATTGTTTGCCAACCAAGAAGCGGTAACAGTAAAGGATTTAGCGAATATTTCTATTTTTTATCACGGTTTGAAGTTTCAACACCCAAGAAAAAAAAATGCCTTTTTTTATCCGGTTTGTGACTCAGACCACCCCTTTTAAAAAAAAAAAATTTTTTTCAATCGCCAATTGCAAGCTCTTTAAATAAGCTTTCCAACGAGCCGTCAGTGGGCAGCAGAGGATCATTACTTTTTCGTTAGTCGATCGATTAGTTGTGGGGGTACAAATGCATATAGTCGGTGTAGCAAATACGATTATTTTATAAAAAATAAAAATCGCATGGAAAGGGTTAATATTGAGTATTTGGGTGTAATTCTAGATGAAAACCCGATATGAAAGTCTCATAAAATCAGTTATGTCAAAAAGTTTCAAAATCTCTCCAAATACTGTATAAATTACTCGAATCCTCGGTATCGATCATATCGATGCATTGAAAACTGTAAATAGAGTTCTTATATATTCTCATTTGAAATATGGCGTAATCAGTTGGGGAGGATGTAATAAAACTGCGCTAGTGGATGTATTGGAATGAATTGAATACTACTGATGCTAAATTAATGGAATATACGATGGTGATGAGAAGTATATTGGGTGGTGACATTTAATGTAATGCATATTGTTACCTCGTTTGAACACATATTGAAAAATATATATTACTACCTAATCTACAAAATTTCGTTCCGATTCTCAAACACATTTGTTGTTTCTAAGATTCTCAGCCCTGGTTAATTATTACTATTTACTCGATCATATTACGATTTACAACATTCAGAAAAAACCCCAAATTTCTGGTTCCTGAGCCGTGTGGTTTGGGTTCTTCAAGAGTAGTTCCTGGTCTTATTTACTCTCTTTATTTCAAGTATGAAACGAATACCGGTACTTTGTTAACCTGTACTGAGGTTACTACTAGCTAGAATATGATACGTGCGTCAATAAATGTTTACGTGCCCACGTTGCTATATTAGCGAATGCGAGCGTTTTCAAACACGCCTTGCATGGACTGGCGACTTGAGCGATACCGTAGAAATCTGGGATAAATATGAACTTAGGGCATGTTGCAGAAGTGTAGGGTTATAGAATCATTAGAATGCAGGTACATGAACAAGCATGTTTTGGTTGGTTGGTGTTCTTTGACATGAAACTGATGAAATAGTAACGATCAGCAGATCAGAGGGTCGGTCCATTCTGAAATGATTCTGGCATTTGATCTCAACCTGCTGACCTAACCTAACGAACAACAGGGGAATAGCAGAAAGAACAATTTTACTTTTGAATTTTATTATTGTGTCAATTCGCAGTTTCTGAGTTTAAAAATTTCATATAACAGTATTTCATATAAGTTAACAGTAACCGAGAATCCAGAGATGGTCTAGCGGCCAAAGCGTTAGACATTGCTGCATTAAGTTCTGAAGTTACGGTAACTGTGTTTATAAGATACGTCTGGGGTTCACGCCTCACTCAGACCTAGAGCTGTAGAGTGTAACAATTCAGTAATTGAGGTGGGCAATGTGGTTCCTTTAAATTACCGGAACGGACCCTCAATTACCGGAACAGACCCCGGTCCAGAAATTTAATAGCAAAGACAGAAAGATCTGAAGATACATTTATACTACAGTACGGTACTTGGTAATAATACTGTAATTGCTGTTACTGGGGTAATGCGCTTGTATGTTTCAGTATGTGGATATAATTCAATTGATGTTGTGTGTCTTATTCAGGATGACCCTTGTAGGCTTATTGCACAGAATTCGAACTGTGAATGTAGTTTTTAAATATAATAATTTAATCCATTTGATATATGCCATTATTACATACATCACTTGGTGGTTGGTTATTGAATGATGGAACATGAAAAATTATTTGACTACCGGTATATTTCTAATTTTAATAATTTGATCACTGATCCATATTTCAAACTTGTATCAGTGGTCCCAATCCCGAATTCTTCCAGACAGTTCCTTAATAACTTTTTTTATAACTTGAAAAATAAGTCATGAAGTACACCTCAAAGACTTCACCAAATAGTACCACATAGGTAATGTGCTTATATAGTAATGTTTCAGATACTTGTAAATAAACAATACTACAAAATAGAAATATTGCTTCCAAATTAAATCATGCTAGAGTAGATTTTGATGGAGGTCTATTTGTGCTATAAAAATATTATAAGGATAAAAGTGAAGTCTGTAACATCCAAATATGCGGAATATTGCTTTATTGCTTGCCCGTTGATTGGAAGATTGCAGGTTCGAAATTCGGGTCAAAATACTCTTGTTACATTTCTCATTTAGCCTATGAGATTGCCAATGTATATTACCATATTATAATATTTTATTTGACTACAGATATCTTGGTGAATAAATTTTGACATTATTTTCTTTCAACTTCATAACAATGTCTTCTAAGCAGAATATCACACTTCATATGGATGGAATAAATGTAAGTATATTAATTAACAGATCAAAATAGAAAACTTCATAGGAACATTAAAAACTCAACAATTAATGATATATTTCCACATGTTCATGCTTTCAAAAATGGTAGTAAATTGTCAATTGTGTATTGATAAACAATTGTTGCTATCTGGGTTTATTTTTTGATTTCCTCTCGATCGGTTCTCAGAATTCCAAATGCTTTGTTATATAGTGTTTGCATAGAAAAATTATATTATAGATAATAAAAACTTTTATAGTTGGTTTTTAGTTGGTTTTCGGCTGTTTTTAATTTCAAGGGATAAAACAGAACTTCATGCACATTACTAACTCTGCAATAAAATGTTGTTTTGACATTGGAAGTTTAAACAGTTAATTAAAACTTTAATTTATGTTCAAATATTGTGTACAAATGTTTGACAATGAATTTGTCTGAATAATTCATGCTTGACTTATGGGGACTTATTTAGGATATTTCTTATTTTTCAAGCAGTGTCCCTCAAGCGAACCAGAAATGGTTTAATGCATTTGTGTAATTTATTTTTATATAGGCCTGTGAATCAAGAGAATATGAGCAAGCTTTGAAACTTTTCAAGCGAATCGCAGAACCTTCGGCTGTGATATTCTTCAACATGGGATGCTGTTACTTGAAACTAAATAACTTCACAGAAGCTCTCAAGGTCGGATTTTTGTTTTGTCTTAATTTTTTTTTTTCAGTTTTGTCTTTAGAGCATTGTAGCACAACATGATAAGAAACAACATGATAAACGAGGATATCAGTCAGAGACCGAAGAATTATTGATCGAAAGTTAGGGGATCCCCAAAACAGCGCTCTTACTCCATAGTGACACCTTGTGTCCCATCACTAATTAATAACTCGCTAATTATACGGCATAATTCGCCCAAAATCAATAGGCTTCTGGTCCGAGATTACGAATGCGCATGCAAAATCTGGAGCCGATTCAATCTCGCTTTCGTGAGATATCGCGTGCATCTAACAGACACACACAGACAGACAGACAAATATATCAAGTTAACATACTTACCGATTAAAATCGATAAGTAATAATAAACACCTAGTATGTATTTCAAAAATGGGAAAAATAAAGGAAAAGTACTTATTTAATTTCATTCATAAAACTAATGTGAACAGACGAAAACTAATTGAAATGAATCTATGTAGGAAGAAAGTTTCCCTTTTTCCCAAACATCGATGTCAATTTTGCAGTATATGAACTGTGTACGTATTCTATTCTAAATGCACTTCCTTAAAACATAAATACTGATATATGATATTACAAAGGATCAAGAATCAATATAAATAATATCATTTAAATTAGAGGCGTGCAAATGTTTATCGCAATGGGACAAAACGAAAAATTATGGTGATACTGAAAGCCGGAACTTATACCAACTATATAGTTTTTAGCAACTTGCAGTTGACTTCGCGAATGCTCACTTGTAAGCTACAGGAGTATGTGCTGTCCAAAAAAATTGTTTTTCTTGCATGATTTTCCAGATTTGTTAAATGTTCATGCACATAGTTCCTGTAGTCCACGATATCGATAGGCATTGGTTTGAGATACTTCGATACTTACCGAAGAAGTGTCTAATCGACGAGCCATTTTTAATTGAGAAAGACATATGTGTTGTATTTTTATTCTTCAGAGACACCTTTCACGAATATCTGCAACCCATAATCGCACACGATACTATCGTATCTAGCAGATTGTTTTGTATATCACTTTCTCTTGATATAAATTGTTGACAAATTATGTACACATTGTATATCTGCATTTTACAATTTACCTTCCGTTTTTACTAAACAGTAGACATTTAAACTTTATTAATTACAACACAGACACTGCACCAATAAAGTGATATCATATGACATTATTAAATCCTTGCCAGGGAAATCGTGATCCTGATGTGACATATATCACAATGTCCAAAATGCCCATGGTGTCCTTACAAATAAAAAAGCATTCAAAAGTAATGGCATACTAGTCTGTTACAGACCATATTAAAAAGTTTTGCTGACCATATGTTACTTGCCTTTGATTCGTATAATACAAATTATCAAATATAATATATCCTATGATTCCTATATATCTTAATACTGTTAAAGCTGCACATGCCATTATTCGTTGTTGTATATTTCCATTCCAACACTCGCAGCATAAAATCACAGAATCAAAAAAGTTTTTTTTTCAAATAAAAACACAATTTCTATGTTTATATAATACTTTTATTGAAGGAACATAATTCAAATGGCATGTTTGTAATTCAAAAGAATAGCAATAACCTTAAATTAAAAACACAACAGTGGCACATAATAGCATAATAATAACCAGAAGAAAAACGGTAAAAAAAGATTCATGCATTATGTTTGAAAATATTTATTGAAATAATTTAATTCTTGCGTCAGTAATATTACACTTTTGTGCAATATGGTTCACTGCATTTTGTAGTATTAGCCATCACAATGAATAATTAACTTTGGTAAGCATAAAGGGATGCCAGATCTCCAGTGCTTTTTACTGATATTGAGATTAGTGCAAAAGTAAAAAAAACAGCACTTGCATTATGATTGTAACTCAGATTTTATTAATGGAGCAGGCTCCCAATGAAAACCTCTTGTTTGGTCAACATATGTATGAGTATTTTATGTCTACAAGTAACATGACCAAAAACACAAACACTAAAGAAATATGGTCTTGAACACTTAGAAGTTGTGTTGCTTGCACGCCAAATGACACGAAGCGTACCACCTTGATATAACTATTATTTAATTCACCTCGATGATGAATGTTGGAGGTATCAGCTGGCAAAGAATTTTGTGGAATACTCTGTAAAATAAGTTGAGGTAGGAGTTGTATAATATTCACAATTTAAATAAACCTGAGGCAGTTTATGTTGACCTTGATTTAATAATTGATGCTAACTCTAAGCTCGCGATCTCAAGTTTAAATTATGGAGGAAAACTAATAGGAATACTCAATCAATTTGCATCATATTCCTGCTGCGGAAGGTTTTATAGAAGACATATAAAGAATATTAATTGTGAAACTTGTGTTGGCACATTTCGTACACCTTTACTTATAGGTATTGTAGTTAGAGAATTGCTGTGATTTTAAAGTGTTGCATTTATTTGATACTTATGGTGTCCTATAGATTTATCAGGAACTGAGCACGCCAGTAGCATTCTATGAAGTTGGTTAATCATTTCATCCTTTTGCTTCAGAATATCACTCAACTCAATAAGTTTTTTATCCACAAAATCCCCAGTATCTGAGTTTGTTGCAGTCTTTAGAGACTCACGTAATGATGTTATTACACTGTCAATGTTTGCACAATTTTCCATCATTGATTGGACCTTAGTTTGAAGCACTGGCCCATAAACTGGTGTCAAAGGTGATTGAAATGTGTTGGCATTCATTTTTGACGGAGAGAAGGAGATTGAGCAACCCTTTCCTTTTACTTCATCCTGATAGTGATTCAATGATATTCTTGGAAGGCTTTTTGTTTGACGAACAATGCATGATGTTTTTGTTACTGAAGTCATGATACAAGACATGCTAGAAGACCTCGTTCTTGGACTGGTAACAATGATTTGGGTGTTTTTGGTGACATCTTTTGTCACAGCAATGTGGATTGCTCCATTCTCCAAATCAATTTTGCTTGACAACTTATCTGTACTTGTCCCATGATGTAGTGTTTGCTGTTCTTCGCAATACTGGGGTGATGGCAACTCTAAGTTTTGATAATGGAATGCAGAAGACTGGTATCTTATTTTGTTGGCATCTGCAGTTTTTTTGCTTTGAGAAATATAATTCTGACCAGCTGGAGATTCATCAATGTCATCAAGTCGATAATTGGGTCTCAGCATATATTGATCAATCACTGTGTCACCCGTGTCGTCTGTGCTGACACAGGAACTAGAGTCAAAAGTGTTGAATCTGCTTCTATATGATCGTAAAGATGAGGTTGCATATGTACTTCCACTCGAACCACTACCAAGTGTATTCGTGTCAGAAGATCCAGATGAACTTGTCAGTGTGTCTGTATTTTGGACTGGAGCATTTAATTTTTCAGACTGCGTATTAGATAATTCCATAGATTCCATTATTTTCATGTGAGCAAGGCTGGAATTTAAGAATGACTCGAGCACACTTTCTGTGATTTCTGCTTTTTCCACCCATTCTTGAAACTCGTCAAAGTTGTTTGATTCTGTAATTAAGGATTCATGGAGGGTCTTCTTGGTGGTGTTTTGATAATGAGTTGGAGAGCACAACTCACTTATCTGAGGGAAGCTTGGAATGGAAAACAGAGAGACATTTTGTTGCGATCTAGCATACTCACTCAAACATAATGTACCTTCAGACTTCAAACTCGTTTCAGAGGAACTTCGACTGAGCACATCTGTTGCCAATGCCCCATCTATCAAACATGTTTCTTTGTCACCAAATGACGTTCCAGAACTATAGAAACTGTCGGATGACAAATGAGTTGAGTGTGATGAAGAACTGTCTTGCAGGTGAACAGCTGAATCTCCGAGCGGGTCAGAGATTAGTGCAACAGGGTAGGAACCGAGAGAGCTCACAACAGAGTATCTCTTTTCACAGCTTGACAAAGGGTCTTTAGTAAAGTCATTGCCTGATCTTGCATCATCATATGATTGTGTTCTTTTGCCCCTCGGCAAGTAGTCGACAGATGCTTGAATTGTGCGTAAAACTGGATGACACTCGGCGTTTGAATTGTTGCTGTATTCCGCTTGTTCCCATGGATCTGTAAGTTTTAAAGAAGTTCTTTAATGGGTGATTCGCTCATTGTCGAAGTTTAGAGGAGGCGTAATAAATTTAGTATATTGATACTTTCCACGATAAGCAATAAAACATGTGATGATGTGGAATCGTAGAACCCGTTCATTAGATGATGTGTTCATGCAATAAATTTGAACCTATTTTTTTTATCCAGGGTTTTAAGAAAAAAGAGTGAATAGTGGAATTATGGATAATATTCAACTTGATAATATTAAAAGGAAACAGTTCTTTTTTAAATTGGTATAATGGAATTTATCATTGTTTGAAGCAATATTCTCCAAAGTATTTCAATGAAAAGTTACAGGAGAGTCAAAAAAAAATTCTGCTCATGCAATCAAACTGGCCTCATCCTTTTAAATCAGAGTCCTAGGTTACTTACTGTGGTTAATAACTGAGCTTCCAATATGTGATGCGCCACCTGCTTCATTAAGTGTTGCATCATCATGATCATTCAAATCATTGGTCTCTGCAATAGAATCTACCGAGTCTCTGTCTGTATTTACACCGTCTCTTGTAGAGGGAGTAAGAGATCCATTAGTAGAAAATGCAGAGTCGCTGTTTACTGAAACGTCAGTGTCTGAGTGTTTATGGTAGGACTGCTTTCTATGCAACCTTATGTCCAAGCATTGTGCCCGCATGTTAGATTGGGACATGGTGACTTGATTATTCCCGTCCGAAAATAATTGTTCGTTTTTGACAATGGAACGTTTAATATTTGTAACACCACTTTCAGCACTTGATAAAGCCAATTCATCCATACTGCTCATCACTTCATGGATATCGTAATCGATAACAGAATCTGCTTGTGATGATGCTGAGTGTAGTCTTCTTCCTCTATTGTCCTTGTAGTGGTCATTTTGCAGATATTGGTAATATTGTAGGTAGTGACTGTGGCAAAGGACTGGCTGATTTTGTTGTTCACTACACATGCCCCACGGGTGTATGTGCGTTTTGTTGAGGCAAGGGGTCATCTCTTTTGTAATCCATTTCCATTCCGCTGTAGGAATTGTTGTGGAGGATTGTATTTGGGCTCTGTTCACCCATTCACAAGCTGCACAGTTATCATTGGATATTGGGCTGGATAAATTTCCACTATTCATTCCCGCATTCTTTCGTCTTTGAAGACTACGAACTGAGATGGTAGATGTGCTGTTGTTTCTTGTTGCACCACTGGAGAATGCGCTTATCGAACCTTTTTGTTTGTGTAATCCGATGATCGGACCTTCTGAATGATGGCGGTAGAGAGACGACGTGATTGAATCAGAATCACGGGTAAATGTGGTCGCGGAACTGAAGAAGGAGTTTGGCCTGTGAAAAACAAACACATAGACTAAACTCAGGCGAATGAAAATAGGTGTATGAAATGTAATTTTTTCGTTTCTGGTCCGTCGATTAATCATTCCGTAACAACCTCGCGATTGCAGCTTCTATGTAGTCGTATTAAATAATAGTTGTGTAAGTTTTTGTAGTATTTTTTTTATTGTGTTCATGGTTACGTTCAATATCGTGCACGTAACATGGCCAAGGAAAAGTTTCACTTACCTTGAAGTGTGCAGGTACAACTTGTCATATTCTGATGATTCACTGAACGTGCAGCTCATTGTGTCACCCGAGTCTAATTAAACGAGAGAAATTATACAATATGAGATATCTAATTGGTACTTGGTCTTGAAGCATCTGCCCAATTTTCGATAAAGAAAACAAATAAGACGGCTATATGGTCACATATCGTCAGACAAATTAGCGTCGACGTGCTAAAAGCAAGGGCTAATTGCAGGTCTGATCTATAGCCGGAGGTAACTATTTTGTTTGATTTTAAGAGGTTCCGATGAAAGTACAGCTTCAAACATGTCTCATACAAGGGTTAGTATCCCAAGTTTGGCACATGTTCGATTCAATTCGTTTTATTATCGATGCGGTTGTTGACTTTGCGGCGCTATGTCTGGTCAAATTGAAAATTGCGTTTTACACAATTGAAAGTGGTTCACCTAATTTTAATAGAATAAAATAAACATTGAACGTTTGTCCGTTATTACAAACTTTCGTTTGGAAACTTCCTTTCTCAAATCTCGTATGTTGAAACGGAGAAATGAAATAAATTAAAGCGAACTGGTTCATTGACCCCATGTTAGTAACTTTTGGTGATCTATTAAACATACTCCTCATCGCTGTCTAAGTTTTGCTTGTAACGAATAAGGGTTTTTGGTCTTATCTTAGATTGACAGTTAGACCGTTATCGAACCGTTTTAAGGCTGAACAAATTCCTAACTAATTTATATAATAACATGCTGGCTTACTATTGAAATTTCCATCAATAACAGTTTCTTCTGACTTGTCATTTTCTTCTGCAATTGTTTCCAATCGCGAACAAGTAGAGTAAGTTCTGGATCGGATCTGCTGGTGCAGTCCCGCTCCGTTCGAAAATGTCGACTGGTTCTTCGTATTAAAATCATAATGGTTCCATTCGCTGTTATCATTTGGCAAGAGAAGCCTTGTAGACTCATTCAGAATGCTTATAGCGTTGTCTAACGAGGCATGTAGATCTGCACTTGCCATTATTGTCTCTATAGGCTCGACTTGGTTTTCCTTCAAAATGAAAAAATATAATTTGTATATTCAGTACGATAATTCAAAAATTCATTCTGGAGCGTTGTAAATCAAACTAACTGCTTTGCGTCTTGTTTTCAACGACCAAACAACAAAATGATATGTACCAACGAAAGCCTCTTGCTTATTTAGGTACATCAAATGGCTGGGTGTGGCAAATTAATTTTATGAATTTCTTGAAGCGGAACACAATCAAATTTCCAAACAACCAATATTTCCGCCTATGGGAATCATTAAATTCGCTCTAAATTAGTTATATAGATTTTGGCTGACATATTTTCTATGTTAAAGCTTTGCAGTAAAAGCGAGCACGATTTGTTACGATAATAGACAGTTCTCCGTTTTAATTAAAAACTCTATTATTAACCACCCAACCATGATTTTCGATTAGCTTTGTTTAAGTCGCTGAAACTTATACTATATCCATTGAATATTGTTTATTCTGCCCGAACAGTGTTCTAGTAATGTCAAATTAAAGTCTTGTTGAATAGCTGTCAGTAGTCATAAGCAGCGTTGCCATATCTATGAATTACAATTTATGAACTTACCGTATGGGCTCTGTTAGTACAGTTATGAACTCGACATTTTGAATTTCCTAAATTGTGATCCATTCTTCTATGCCTGATATCGGATGTATACATTCGACCCTTCTGGCCGAATTTACCCGCGTTATACTGTTCGTAATGGGCGCTGTGAGACTCGGGATCGAACGCCGTATTCACTCGTTGAAATAAGTTGGCTATTCTAACATCTTCCAGGTCTTTTTTAGTTCCGCCCATCCGATCTGACTCATTGGCGTAGGTTACTGGCAGCGTGGCGCCAATGTAAGACTCTGTGCCAAAAACGTCGTCGTTCATTGATGATGGTGATTGCTGGAAAGGCGACCCGCTGCTAAACGAATCAGACCTCACAGAGATGGACATAATGTCTTGACGAGAGTCAATGTTCATATAGGCATCATCAACCAGGTCGTCTTGGAAGGAAACATACGTTGACTGTACCTTGTTTCTTTCCTGCCGTTAAAATGGAAGAGAACACGATATTTTTAAGTCGGTAGTTTCGTATTATCGAGACCTGTATTAGGTAGAAACTGAATTCACATTCTCACCTCCAAAATAATTCTGGTTTATTCTCTTGACCACGATGCTTGATTTATGGGTTTGAAATGAAAGTTATGATTACGATAACGTACTATTTAATTGTGATACCACGGATAGCGTAAAAGTATTGTATGATGTGATGTATGTAAGCGTTGTTCATCGACTTGTACGACTATTTATCGAGTTTCTGTTTAGCAATAACACATAAATTAGTATGTATTTACTTATGATTATTATGCTAATATTGCCCCGAGAATCGCCAGATTAGGGATACATGAGTCCATCAATATTGATGCGAAAGAGTTAATGACAAGTTAACAGAAGTGGTGGCCATATTCCATGTTCATTTATCTACAACTTTTTTAAAACAGGAATGTATTATATTGTTATAAAATTAATAGACATAAATTTTTATGTCACGCCAAAATTTCCTTCACAACCATTCATTATAAAATAATTGCAAAGATAAACCTCTATAATGATACGTTTCAAAACTGACAAACGCTACTTTGCTTTAAGCAATTCACAATCCAATTTATCAAAGTGACTGTACACTTCGACGGCGGTGGTATGAATATACTTATGGCTTGAATCTAGAGATCATTTCTCATATTCCATTATACTTTACTTTCTGGTCTAGTAATATAGGTTCGCTCTATCGTGACCACTGTCAAGTATTGACTAACAATTCTTACCCGCGTTGAGTCTTTTTTATGAATTGGTGAAGAAAAGTATTTCCTTTTGCCTCGACGGCGTTTGTTATTGTCGGCGGTACTGGGAGTGGATTTCTTGTCGTCATTTCCTGTTTCACTATATGGAAGACGTGGTAATTTTTGACCTGGACCACTGCTGTCTGAATGCAGTCGTTGTTCCGATTGAGTATCGCCTGCTACCAATTTTGCCCTGCGCATCACATCCGTAGGCGGTGTCTCCGACATGCAATTAACGCCAATTCCGGTCGAAAAATGCGTGTCAGATTCGGAGTAGCCGCCACCTATGGGAATTTTACCTTCAACACTAGAGTCTGGGTGTTTATGCACCGTATGGCTTGTATTGAGTTTACAGTCACTTAATTTTGAATCTTCTTTATTTAGATTCAATGTTCCGGTAACTTCCGCCGACGGCATCTGAGTGATCGATTCATCTGTGCCCTGAGAACTATGATTTGATTCGCATCGATTAACTGATTTACAGTTATTGTTCGTACATATGTTAGAAACTTCGTAAACGGTGTCAGCGTGCGTCGAATTTATTCGTGCAACACGACATTTGGGACTTCGATTTCGTTTTTTTACGCTCCATATCCCAAGCCCCCGTAACATCGTGTCATACCACCTTTTTTCCGTTGAGCTATCAGTCTCTGTCAGCGGAATTTCTGTCGTTAAGTTCATATCTATTTTATCCGATTTCTTATCGAGGCACCCGTGGTTTTGCAACTGCTCATGGGTACACATTGGGCACTCTACAACTGCCGTTGATGTCCTCGAACGTTTCAATCTTTTTTGTTGTAGCCTCGACTTATTTCGTGTTACTGTTTCCGTTCCACAAGACACTACGATCCCGCCGGCGCAGCCACATTTTGTCGGCGTGCTTAGTGGTGAATCAGTATTCATATTTGTAACTCCCAACTGTTCCAAAATATTGCAGCTCAGCTTTCTATCGCTGCACCATTTCGTCCGTTCCGAGGTGTATAATATTATTCAACCAAAAAACAATTTCAAAATGAATATCTAGATATTTTCTATGGTAAATAAAATCTGAAAACGGTATAAGATAACAATTTAATAATCCAGTGCTTTATGGTAACAAAAAACGGCTGATCTCCCTCTCGCTTGAATTTTGTCAAACGTGTGATAGGTAGTTCTTCTCAAACCTAGCGTTTGCGTGCCAATTAGAAAATATTTCGCGCCATGGCTAAGTACTGTAACGGTTAATCAACGTTCTTTAGGTGTGACGAAATAACTTTTCGTGGTACTGACTACCTTGCGTAAGTCTGTAAGTTTCACATAGTACATATGCCTTTGTACCCTAATTGCAATTCTGAATATGTACGTATTTTCGGTTTCACGAAAATTGTGTGTTAATGTTAACTTTTGATTAGGTTGAAGCTTCGACTTCGAATTAATTTTTTCCTTTCAATACTAAGAAAAAGCATCACTTGATCCCAAATCTAAAGCTATTTTAACGATAATCAATTACTTTGCCGATTTTTATTGTCTTGCGTTTCTTCCCAATGTCTTGTATGCTTATCTTTCGGTGTACTTCCACTGGCGCCAGGAGTTCGAATGTTAAGTTTACGGAACCGGCGTCGATAGATATTTTATAAACAATTCGGCGGCGAGTGCTGTCTGTTCAGTTTAGAGTAATAGCACAAAAACCTCGTTCTCATTGACATGATCAGAACCAATAAATATAATCTGAACATGATGTAATCACGCAACTTGTTAACAAATTAGAAAGAAAATCAAAATGTTTTACTTAGACATTCTGGCTGTTAGCAGTAACAATATAGTATACATGGAATAATATATTGTCTGACTAATTGTCTTTTTCATTTAACCTTGAATTACTTATCACAGTATTACTAAATTACAGCTAACATTTTCACTATGTAATATACTTTCACGATTTTACTCGGCCAATACGATTTTTCTTTTAACAATCAGTATCAGTACGAATTTAGTTTTAGATTCACTATTTCTTGAATATCTTGTTGAGTACCTCTCGCATAATTTTGTTTTGATCACCTTCTTGAATTATATTCCCAATCGTCAGTACTCGCTGCTAGTAACTCAATCTTGTTGCTGATCGTTTAGCCAAATGCCACTTTTTGCGTTTGTCGCCGTGACGCCCGCGATCGGAGCAGCGGTGCGTTTTTTTTATTTTCGTTCCAAGCCGATGATTTCGGTTCGAGTAAAGAATTTGAATAGAAGGGTTCGTCATACATTTTCCCGCGTTCAGAAAAATCGACCCAGAGCAATGGACAGTTTTACTCTCGTAGAAAGGGGCGTGAGTTACAGTAGGTTTACTTGAGAACATTCTTCATGATACCAATTTCTCTTCGTATAATACCTATTCAAAGTGTGCTTGGGCTCAAGTGGACAGATCATTCTCGGGTCCACAGAGAGCTTACATTTGACCGATTCTTATAAACGACAACAAATTGACCAACTCTTTGTCATTGTAGGAAGGGCGATCGGAACTATATTTTCTTATTTTACCCATCGCATTGTTGTACCGCTTACTACGAAATCGTAAAACATTCGTTAAAGGGTTTTATTTAACAACGCCTTCTATAACATTTCTTAATTTATTAGCATCTGTAAAATTTATGGCTATGGGAAAGTGTGGTTCATGTACGGGTTAACAATAAGAAAACATAATGGTGATAATGCAGTGCACTTTTAATTCCATTATTTACCGTTTTCTAAGTAATGGCAAAGATTTTCGACAGCTATAATATCATTATTCATTGAAATTATTACGATCTAAGGCAGGGGTCGATAATTGTAAAGGTGACCGTACATTTGAACCCACGTACATTTGAACCCATGTGTATATCCACGGGTTCAATCTATATGCGGGTGCTAAAACCCATGGGTTAGGGTTAGTATGGGTTCAACTATCCGAAAAACAAAAAAAATTCCATAGGTGCAATAGCATACAGGTGCAATTGTCATGGGTTCAAATGTAATGGAACAAATTGTAAATGTTTCTTCCGCATAAATACCACGGTATAAGCGCTGATATCTTTATATATTTGGACAAATATTATGTCAGCAATGCATCGGTTATATTCCATCATATCTGAACATATGTGAAAAGTACTATTACAGCTTTCACCAAGGCTCGCTGGTCATATCAGAAAGCCCTGTATTTGAGTAAACATTGAGTTATAGACGCGATGCTTCGAATGCTATATATGATGCTATTGCTCTACAAATAGAATATTAGCTATATGATATTGATTAATGTTTTCTCTTAAATCTATACATGCTATTCAATAAGTCCATTCATTGTTAATCCAAATTATATCTCCCTGGAGGTTTTCGAATAAACAAATACGTATTCATTTCTCACCGCTGGAAATAATTTATATAGCATTTTATGTATGTATGGGGAACGAAAAGTAACGTTAAATTACCTTCAATGCACATCTCAGCTACTATATATATACTATAAAAGTATACTGCAGTCAGTACAGCGTGGGTTATGAAAGCGAATATGCTCAACTGTCTTATCTTTTCTTTCTAGAGTGTTCACCAAATATATACTATTACTAAAGTTGATCGCAGTAAAAATACTTCGCTGGTTGACATATCTCAAATTGATCATAAACTGAAAAGATCTCCTTTGTGAGACGCGGCTGAATACACGAAAATATAACGTACTCAGTATAATATAACCTAGTCAATATAAAAAGTTCAATTTCGAATTGGTCGGACTTGCGTTATGCTGTATGTGTAAGTGCAATTGTCTGATTTTAGAGTTTTTTTAATAAAATATCGGTGGCTTAGTTTCTGTCCTTTCTCGTCAATTTGTTCTTCGATACTCATCACCTTCGTCGAAATTGAATACCTGGATCTATGACTAATCGTTTATTACCTTTTGCGCAATAAAAACATTAGCAGCCTTCGAGACTGCGTTAAGTAATTACCGCCTTTCCCTTCAGTCAGTATTGTTGGAATACATTTTGCCGTCGGTCGGCGTCTTCAAGCGGTTTCGCGCGGATGTGAAAATTAGCGTATTCTCGACGCTTGTCTCTCCACCTGCGAACTAATCGCCGCTCATCTCGTACTTAATAACTAACTGGTTGTTAATATTGTTTTGCACGCGCCCGCCAAAATTACCTGTTGTCTCATTTTTTTATCGAAATTCTCAAGTCACTTTTGGATCTCTAAGTTCTATTGTCAGTGATGGCGTTTATCGCCGCACTTTAGATGCCAAATATTAAATTCTTTATATTTAATGGGATGTGAAACAAAAAATTTCCCAAAAATATATGATAGTATATTATTAAGAGCAAAGCCATTTGGGGTTTAACCGTTAAGAGATATAAGTGTTTACTACTCTCCGACAATGGTTAGCTGGAAATCTGAAAAGTTGCTGCTCTGGCAACGCTGAGCTTATTTTCTATCCGTCGCAGCGTTAGATCTTTTTTCATTATTCAACACCTACAGCAAATCTCCAAGGCTAATTATAGATTGAAATTTGCAATTAAAAGATCTGTGCACGAAATAATCACAACATTCGAATTTCGGTGTCAAGGTGTGTAATATTGCACTTCACTCATGATTTTCCCGCTCTCACTTCCTTCGTCGCACACTTAAAACTGGGTAATCTAACAGTCGCCTTTGATATGCCCGCGCAGATAAATAAATATACACCTGAAAACCTACTCGTCAACAGTTTGTTGATTCTAACATTTAACTGCTTTGTTCGTAGGATTGACCCTAATACTCTCCATAAACAACGGCTATCCCAACACGCCTCGAGAATCTGCAGCTGCCAACAGTTGGCTCGAGGTTATCTCGAGTGATTGCAACCATTAACAATTTTTACGCCAATCAGTATAAATGAGCAACGCTTGCATGGTACGTACGCTTTCTCCAAAAGATGCGATATTCAAAATGCCTCGAAAGTCGAAAATGTCTGTCATCAACTTTCTGCGAATTCAACCACGTACATTTATTACTTTCTCATTCTAAATAGATTATTCTCGGTAGACAATTTGGAACTTATATTGCCAACTCTTGCTTTATACTGTGAATTAAATCTTTAATCTTTTTCTCTTGTCATATCTGATATTTTATTGCTATTATCAACGGATATCTTAGAATATACATCACTTGGTAAATTCAGTTATCTTGTGCTTTTCCGGAAACTGTTATCTGATAGCACAATACGCTCACCAATACATGTATTTTTCTCTTGTCATAACTGATATTTCAATGCTATTATCAACGAATATCTCAGAATATACATCTCTTGAATTTAGTTATAATATGCATTTCCGGAAACTGTTGTCTGATAACACAATCGCTCCGCAAAATAACAGGACATATTGAGGCTGAATCGAACTCCACGACAGCATTCAATGTCTCAATTCTCGTTATAATGGCTCTAATTGCGAGCTTGTTAATAAGGAAACAAATTTAAGGTCTATTGTCAAATATGATTAATCTTCTTACAACGACTTGGAGTTAACATTCAAGGACAATTAAATGCCCTAATTTGCAGCTTATGCCGGGTTTGTCTGAATCCCACAATGCTACGCAATGCCCATTTTAAGAGGATTTGCTTGCTCGAATTGCAGGCATGGCAAAACTTTAATCTAACTTATGCACTGTTATGACATCGTTGCTCTTGCATCTCCTAAGCATTTAACACTCACTTCATGCTGCGAAATTCGATGTTAATGTTTAATTAACTCCAGGGTAACTAATTAATCAATTCTAATCACGCATGTAAGTTTACACGATTAAGATAAACCTGCAGAAAGCAATATAAAATATGCGCCCAAGTTGACCTGAACCATACAAATAACTGACGAATAGTTTTCTTCGGTTCAAATTTGATAGGAGAATGAAGGTCTTCCGTTAAAAACTGCGCATGCATTGTCCAACAAGTATAGCAAAAAGGGTCGTAATGAGTATCCACTTTTGATATTCAAGGGTTGGATTAGCTGAAGAGGGTACCGAAGTCCTTATTACTTGTCAAATCAGATCTATAATCTAACCGGATCGACTTATTAAAAATTAAAATAATTATTAATAAAG